CCCCCCAAGCCGGACACTGCACTGCATCCAGCTGTGCCCCCCAAGCCGGGCATTGCACTGCATCCAGCTGTGCTCCCTAAACCGGACACTGCACTGCATCCAGCTGTGCCCCCTAAACCGGACATTGCACTGCACCCAGCTGTGCCCCCTAAGCCGGACACTGCACTGCACCCAGCGGTGCCCCCTAAGCCGGACACTGCACTGCACCCAGCAGTGCCCCCTAAGCTGGATGCCGCACTGCACCCAGCTGTGCCCCCCAAGCCGGACAGTGCCCTGCATCCAGCTGTGCCCCCCAAGCCGGACACCACACTGCTCCCAGCTCTGCCCCCCAAGCCGGACGCCGCACTGCTCCCAGCTGCCCCACTTGTGCCCCCAAAGCCAGAAGCCATTGTGGCCCCAGCGGCTCCGGGGGTGAATGAGACCCTGGAGGTGCCAGGCGAGCGGAGCCAGACCCCCAGGGAAGGTTTGCCGCCCCTCACCACCAGCTGCTCCTCCAGTGCGGCGGCTCCAGGCCGGAGGCTGCTGCTGAGCCATGCCAGCTGGGGCTGCCCCGAAGTGCGGGAGCCCGGAGCACTCGAGGGCGGCGGTGCCGGCCGAGCCGGGGGCTCCTCGTTCTCCTCCCCCCTGGGCCCTGGCGCCTCCTCGCCTCACCCAGCGGCCGGGAGCCGGCGCCTGCGGCTGGTCAGCAACAAGCCTTTCAAAACGGTGACCACCAGCGGCGTCAAGATGGGCTCCGAGCCCAAGGCGGGCAAAGGCACCCACAAGGGAGGCCCAGGCAACCGGCTGTCGTGGCCGGAGAGCGAGGCGAAGGGCCGCATGAAAGGGGGCCCCAAAGGCGGCGGGGAGGCGGCCCCCCGGGCCACGGCCAGGGCGAAGCTGTCGCCGCGCAAAGGCAAGAGCAAGACCCTGGACAACAGTGACCTGCTCCTGGACGCCGAGGGCCCGGCGGCCTCGGCCTTCTGCCCCTCGGAGGCCGGCGTGGGGCTGAAGCGGGGCCGCGAGGGCGGCCGGGCCTCCACCCGGGACCGCAAGATGCTCAAATTCATCAGCGGCATCTTCACAAAGAGCCCGGCCTCCACCCCCACCCACCCCGGGCCCGGGTGGGGCCTGGGCAGCCGGGAGCTGCTGAGCCCCGAGCGAGCCAAGGGGTCCTCGCCCAGTAAGTACGGCGGCAGGCCTGGGGAGGGGGCTAGGGTGAGGAGTTTTGGGGGGGATCCCTTAAAAGCCAAGGAGGGGGGAGTGGATCGGGGGGGGTGGATTATTGCTGCAGGGGAGGGGGGGGGGGGTGGGAGGCCGGGATGCCGGGGTTTTATTCCTGGCTCGGGGGGGGGGGGGGGGGGGGTGTCCAGTGGTTAGAGCAGGTGGGGCTGGGAAGCCAGGGATGAGCGCAGGTGAGGCACATCCCTCCATGGTGCCTCAGTTTCCCTTTTGGTAAAATGGGGGTGACAGTCCCCACTTGTGGAAGTGCCACTGATGAGGGATCAGCGCTCGGAGGCCTGTGGCGAAAGAGGCTCTCGATGGGCAAAGTCAAACCACAGCTCCCCCGAGAATGACCCAGACCCGTCCCTGTCCCATCCCTTAGGCATGGGCGGGGGCTACCGGCAAATCTGCGTTATGGGACTTCGCGGGTCCAGTCCCAAGTGTGAGCCTAGGCACGGATCCCGCAGCAGCTCCGCTCTGGGGTGTGACGGAGCCCAGAGCCTCCACTGCGTGTGAGTGTCGATCATGGAGATGGGGGTTTCTGGTTAAGGTTGGAAAGCCTGGTCCTCCGGGGGAATCTGCCTACAAGAGGAGGACGCTTTGACCAGTACCATGCAGGCGGGTTTCTGAGACCGTGGAAATCCAAGAGGCGCCGCGTTAGGTGTCTCAGGGGGTCACCGAGCGGGGACGTGAACTCAGAAACTGCCGCGCAGGGGGGCATTTGGTCTCAAGACGCCGCTGCTAAAGGGTTAATAAAGGCCGATGGGAGGCAAGTCTTGCAGCGGCGAGACCAGGGCCCCGCTGTGCAGGGCGCTGCACAAACACATGGCAAAGAGCCGGTCCCTATGTGGTTAGCGTGAGCAGCGCGGGTTAGGGGCGGATTCTCGGTGGGGCTTTGACCCGGTGGACTCTCCGACAATGGATTAGCCATTTATTGAAACATCTGCTCAGCATTTATTAATCCTTGATTAATGGAACCATCCCAGACAGTGGGACCTGCTGCTCTTTGGTGAATATGTGACACTCCCCCCCCCCCCCCCGCCCGGGTTTTAGCCTGTGGTTGTGTTGTCCCCTGGAAGCTCTGGTGCTAGGATTGAGGGGTATGGAACAGCTTCCGTATGAGGAGAGATTAATAAGACTGGGACTTTTCAGCTTGGAAAAGAAACGACTCAGGGGGGATATGGTAGAGGTCTATAAAATCATGACTGGTGTGGAGAAAGTAAATAAGGAAGTGTTATTTACTCCTTCTCATAACACAAGAACAAGGGGCCACTCAATGAAATGAATAAGTAGCCTGTTTAAAACAAACACAAGAAAGTCTTTTTTCACGCAACGCACTGTCAACCTGTGGAACTCCTTGCCATAGGGTGTTGTGAAGGCCAAGACTATCACGGGGTTCAAAAGGGAGCTAGCTAGATTCATGGAGGATAGGTCCATCAATGGCTATTAGCCAGGATGGGCAGGGATGGTCTCCCTAGCCTCTGTTTGCCAGAAGCTGGGAATGGGCGAGTGGGGATGGATCACTTGATGATAACCTGATCTGTTCATTCCTTTTGGGGCACCTGGCATTGGCCATTGTCAGAGGTCAGGATACTGGGCTTGATGGACCTTTGGTCTGACCCAGTATGGCCGTTCTTATGATTTTGCAGCTTTGATTGCTTGGAGATGCTTCTCAAAGCCAGGAGCGTTCTCCCCCCATCCTCCACCCCCCTCCTTCCCGCCCCCGTCCGTGTTTGGCACTGAAAGTTTCCACGGTGAAATGACGAGGGATCACCTAGGAAACGCTCCGTCGGCAGGGAGGTGGGTACCGAGCATCGGTTCCCCCTGCCGGGCGTCTCCCGTGGGAAAGGGACGCAGAATTGGCTCCCAGGAGCAAGGTGGGAATTGCAAGGGGCAGCCTGGATTGACCCTCTGAACAACTGTGACGGGAGCCAAGCTGGTTCCTAGCCCGGCCTGTATTACACGGGAGCGGGTGATCTGGGATATGGCCGGGGCCGGAGGGCAGGAAAGGGACTTCCCAGCGGCGAGACAGGGCTGCGCTTGTAACGATCCTTTTGCAACATGAAGGATGAATCGGCCCTGGAAGCTGATGAGTGGGTGCGTTTTAGCAACCAGGAATGACGGGCCGCCCCGTCGCTCTGCCGGGCGAGCCCAAGGCCGCGCCTGCTGCGTCGGGGTTAGAATGCTACAGAGCCGCAGGGCGTTGGGGTAGCACAAAGGGTTAATCAACACGCAACCGTTTCTCTGTCGTGGGGGCGCAAAGGGTTAATACACACACACACACACAACCTTTCACTGTTATGGGGGTGCAAAGGGTTAATACACACAGACACACACACGCAACCATTCCCTTGTTGTGGAGGTGCAAAGGGTTAATACATACACATTCCCCTATTGTGGAGCCACAAACGGTTAATACACACACACAAAACCATTCCCTTGTCGTGGAGGTGCAAAGGGTTAATACACATACAACACATACACACACAAAACCTTCCTCTGTTGTGGAGGTGCAAAGGGTTCATACACACACACAACACACAACCATTCCCTTGTTGTGGAGGTGCAAAAGGGTTAATACACACACACACACACACACTCATCCTCCAGGCAACAACCCAGCTCGGCTCGGGGATGTGGCGTGTCCGTGTGGGCCTCCTTGCGAGACTTTAATTTCACAACCCAACCCTGCATCCGTAAAGGAAAATCCCCGCGTGCAATTCCCGCGCGGGGCAGCATTGATCCAGAGCTTGTGTTGTACTTAGTTCCCTTCCTCTGATGATGCTGCCCCCCACCCCTGAATCTCTGACCACTAGGCCCCACTCCCCTCCCAGAGCTAGGGACAGAACCCAGGCGTCCTGACTCCCAGTCCCTTGGGCAGCCTGCACGAAACACTGAAAAAAACCCCCATAAAGCAGCTTTATAAAAAGTGTATTTGCAAATTTTATTTTTCAACTATTTCAAGAGCCTTTATTTGTGGGGTAGAGAGAGGGGCTTGGCTGGGAAGAACCGCGGAGTGGAAGGGGAAGGGAAAAGCCTGTTTCCCAGTACAGCGAGTTGGGATATAGAAAGGGGGGGCAGGATGCTAAGCAGAAATGTAATTGGATTAAAATATTCCCTGTGGTTCTGGTGCGATAAAGGAGGCCCCTTGTCAGACTCAGAGGCCAGGGTGATGGGCCTGGCGTACGAACCAAACAGAATGCTTAGCTATTATGATGAGTTTCTGAAGTGGAGCATTTACTCCAGATTAAAGCCACTTTCGAGGGTTTGGCCGGCAGAGTTAGAGCCGCTAGTTGCTCCTTGTAGACAAGCCCTGAGTCTTTCTGGCTCAGATCCTGAAAGGTGGGAGAACTCCATGCCTTAGAGAGAGATCTAGAACTGATCCCCAGTCTCTGGTGTGTAACAGAAGGGAGCTCGGATAGGAAATGACCGAGCTGCTGGTGCCCGGGAGAAGGAGTTGCATGAACAGACGCTGGCAGGAGCGGGCCCCGGACATCTCCATTTTTCCCTCCGGCTGCAATGACTGAATCAGCCCGGCTCAGCTGGGGCCAGATCCCTGCTCTGGGGAGCTGTCAGGAAGACATGTTCGTCTTCTGGAATTGCAAAGGATTGGACACCCGGCAGTGGGCTGCCCAGAGCAGAGGATGCCCTCCCCTCTGAGGACTGGAGGGGCTGTGGTTCTCAGCCAAATGCCAAGTGCCATGTCAAGGCTGATGCATCCTGCCTCCTCCGTGCCATCGGGCAGGCTGGGAGGTGAGCCAGGCTGGGACGTGAGCCTGATCTAGCCCTGCTGGAGAGCATATTCCGTGGATCGGGGTGTGTGCGGGAGGGTGTCCCCGAAGACAGCAGCAGGCACCACGCTAGGTAGTTGCAAAGCTGTCTTGGCTGGCAGCCAGGCTCTGAGCAAATGTGCTCCGAGCCGGGGCTAGGAGCCGTACACTGGGATGCTGGTGTAACGCTGGTTTCTGTGCACACGCCCCCTCTGGCTGTACCGGGGTTCAGCACCTTCTCACTCCCTTTGTTCCCCGTTTCCCTGGATCCCCCAACATGGCCCACCGTGGAGAGGCGGCCGCGATCTGGGAGGTGGATTGGGAATTTCCCAATGGAACATCTTTCCAGCAGAAAATGCCTTTGTGGAGTCCCAGATTCCAAGGCCTCCTGGATGCCACAGGCCACGGCCCGTCCCTAGAAGAATTCCTAGAGCCAATATTATACTTGGTTCCTGTCCGCCGATGATACAACCCCGCTACCCCTGGATCTCTGACCACGAGGCCCCACTCCCCTCCCAGAGCTGGGGACAGAACCCAGGCGTCCTGACTCCCTGTCCCTTGGACAGTCTGCCCGAAACACTGAACCCCCCCCTATAAAACAGCTTTATAAAAAGCGTATTTGCAAATTTGCAAAGACATTGCGCTTTGGTTTAAAAAATCGCCCCTGACGGCAAATCCCCCAGGAGCGCCCCTTGGTGAATTGTTCCAAGGGTTATTTACCCTTCCTCTTCGAAAGGGATGCGTTCCCTCCCACCTGAGTTTGGCTCGTGACGGCTTCCGAGCAGAACGGTCGGTGGTGAAACGTTGCACAGAAACGTGTCGATTTCGTTGGCGGGGGAGGAAAGGGCAAAGCAGCAGTTTGACGAGCTCGGAACATTTTGTTTCGCCGTTTTTCGGACGGGCGGGTTGGAATTTTCCCTTCCAAATGGCTGTGTGTCGTGGAGAGATTTCCTTGGCGCTGTAAACATTTTAGCAGGAAGCTTTTCCTTGATGATGTTGAAATGAAACATTTTGATTCGAGTGGAACGTTTTGCTCGGCCCAAAACACAGGTTTTTTGGGGGGGGTTGGTGTTTTGGGATTGTCTTGCAGAGGGAATTTCTGAATGGTTTTGCTTTCCCGGAGTGGAATTTCCCCCCCCCCAAAGCTGTGGAATTTAATTCAACCCCCTGGCGATTTCTCCCTGACCCC